ATAGATAGATAGATAGATAGATAGATAGATAGATAGATAGATAGATAATGTAGCATAAGGACACAAAAATAGAGCAACAATAAATAAATAAATAAATAAAATTAGAGGTCATGGTCACTTCATTGAATTTAACTGAAAATAACTAACAAACTAACTAAATAAATAAAAGTTACAAGAACTGAATGTCATAGCTGTAATTTGTTGAACGAGTTGAACGAACCTGGAAGGTTCAGATAATTTAGGACACACTGAAAAAGAAAACGTACAGAAGAAACTTTAAACAGAAAAATGGTCTCTCAGCAATAAAACAACAAAACATTTGTTAATTTATAGACTCTAAAATTAGGAAGATATAACCTCAGACAAACAACAGTACATGAAATATTATAGTGTTATTTTATTTTAGAAAAAAAATAGGCCTTTAATTCACAGGCAGTATGACAACAATTAAATACTCCATGTTTTAAAAGCTTGTAAAACCACATTTAAAAAATAAAATTAAAGTAACTATCTTCTTTGGTACTCACATTTGTGGAGAATTTCATCCTCTAGTCTTTTTATATCATTACTTTAGTATTTTCACATTTATGGACACCAATACAATCCTTTTACCAGGCTGAAACTTTAAACTTGACTATTTAAACACAGATTATTTTTATTATCAGCTATCAGAGTCCCGTTTCACACCAGATTATTGTGGCAAACAGAGGAGTTCATGCTCAGCTGAGTGACTGGAACATATCCTGCTAATGTACCTGCCAAACCAGCCCAAATCATTAACCTTCCACCCCCGTGCTAACAACTGGTATATGTTTAATTGTGATTATTTGCGTTCAAACGTTGTTACAAAGGCCATCGTGCGGGTTTATATGGGTGCAAATGTGTATGTGGTAATGAGTAATGGCATTTTCTTTGTTCCCTATTTATAGCAGCACCTGTTTGTCAGGTTCAGTAAAAAAAAAAAAAAAAAAGATTAAAGAAAAGGGAAGGCAAACAGAACAGCAAGCACAGACGCTTGGTGCTTCACACTGACAAGGTAAGACTTCCACCATTCAGTTCACTTCAGAAGACAGATATCAATATCTGATTATTTTAAAAGCCTATAGGAACAAGATGAAGCTTTTCTAAATGTTTCAAAATGTTGTGTTTAATGACAGGTTTGCAAAATAACGGCTTTAACTGTGTAATATTTGAAACAAATCCTAAAATTGTCTAAATTAAATATTGGGTTTCTTGTTTTGCTGCAAAAACTTCTCAGGAAAGAGGCTTATCAAGAAGCTTTTTATCAGAGTGCTGATTTCACTTAAATAAAACTCTATAGAGACGTTTTGAATAGCTTCTCTACACAGACACATAATTCCCCGGCCTGTCAAACATGTTTGGTGACTCGCTGAAGCGTGCTTTTAAAACTCTGAGATTGCAGCTGTCCAGAAAGTGTTAAATGTTCTCGTTGCTGAGTATTTTAATTGAACAGCTGGTCGTTACAGAAGGGAATGATGCTTCGCTGGGTCACGTTGGCTCTGCTCGTTGGCGTCTGTGCCGGTGCAGGGGAACAAAAGAAGAAAGTGAAGGCTCCGTCCCTGGCAAACGGTGGGTTATTCATTTTTTTTTTTTTGTCAGCATGCACAACTCCTGTTAAAGCCTTTAAAATGGTTAGAAAATAATATTCATTGCAGTCATTTTGAGTTTTTCCATCACGTCGTACAATTAAAAACTGAGTTTTGCCTGCAAAACTCATTGTTTTTCATCAAATCCAAAGAATATCTGTTTTTATTTCAGGGTGGGGGAATAATATTAAATGGGTGAAAACGTATGAGGAGGGCCTATCAGAAATGAAAAAAAGGTAAGACTTTAAACGCATTATTTAATCTTATTTCATTCAGTTTTAATACGTTAGAGCATTTAAAAGTGAAGAGCACATTTAGATTAATCATCAGTCATTATAAAACTGACACGGCCATTCATTTTCTAGTTATTTGTGGTATAAGGCTGCGTTCACACCCATTAGTGTGTTTATTGTGTTGAGGAATGTACTGGGCTGTTTCACTGTGGTTTCACCTTCCCAGTCAGAAACCCCTGATGGTTATTCATCATCTCGACAACTGCCCACACAGCAAAGGTAATGCAACAGCGCTGCCTTTTCACTCATTGAATTTAAAGAAATAAGATGTTACATGTAAAAGTTGACATGCACACAACCTGCAGTGTATTCCTGAAGACCTGCACACTCACATTCAGCTGACGCCCGTGCAGGAAAAAGTCTGCTTCCTACTTTATTAAGTTTGAATAAAGAACTTTAAGACAATAAAACTAAACCTTTATAATGCTCATGAGAAAGAGTTGCATCCACTTCAAAATCCTGTAGAGGAAGTAAAAGTTGCAGAAAGTTGAAGGTGCATTGGACGTATATTTTATTGATGTTATTTTATAACTTGTTTCGTGACCTGCAGGGAGTCAGTGCAGAAAATATTCTGCAGTAATATCATGAATCCATTAAGGCGGGTTGAGAACCTAAACAGAATCATTTCCACAGCACTGAAGAAGGCGTTTGTTGCTGATAAGTCCATCCAGAAAATGGCCAAAGAAGACTTCATCATGGTCAACTTGATGGTAAATAAAGATTTCACACATCGGTTTCTAACAGGGCGACATGGTGGTAGAGCTGTTGTTTCTCAGCGAGAAAGTTGCCGGATCAAATCCCAGCCGGGGGTCTTTCTTGGTGGAGTTTGCATGTTCTCTCCGTGGGTTTTCTCCGGTTTCTTCCCACAGACCAAAAACATGCATGTTAGGCTGATTGGTAACTCTAAATTGTTCCTTTGTGAGTGAGAGAGTGAATATTTGTTTGTCTCTATGTGTCCCTGTGATGGACTGGAGACCTGTCCAGGGTGTCCCCCGCCTCTCGCACAGTGATTGCTGGATATGGGCACCAGTGACCCCTGTGACCCAAAGATGAAGAAGTGGGTAAAGATGATGGATGGATGGATGGATGGATGGATGGATGGATGGATGGATGGGTGGGTGGATGGATGGATGGATGGATGGATGGATGATGGTTGGATGGATGGATGGATGGGTGGGTGGGTGGGTGGGTGTATGGATGGATGGACGGACAGATGGATGGGTGGGTGGATGGACGGACAGATGGATGGATGGATGGATGGGTGGATGGATGGATGGATGGATGGATGGATAATGGATGGATGGATGGATGGGTGGATGGACGGACAGATGGATGGATGGATGGATGGGTGGGTGGATGGATGGATGGATGATGGATGGATGGATGGATGGATGGGTGGGTGGGTGGGTGGGTGGGTGGATGGATGGACGGACAGATGGATGGATGGGTGGGTGGGTGGGTGGGTGGGTGGTTGGTTGGGTGGATGGATGGATGGATGGATGGACGGACAGATGGATGGATGGATGATTTATAACAATCCAAATCTTACAAAGCTTCTGAAAAACAACAACATTAAGAACAGAATGGGAGATGTTAAATGTGCTCATTGCAAAGTATAAAATCAAACATGTAAATAAGTTTGTCCTGGGGTTATCAAACGGTGCAGTCTAAAGAATTGACTCGGGTAGTTTTCAGTTGATATGTAATTCTGAAATGCGGGTGTGCAGTCAATGTAAACAAAGCTCTCGGCATATCTGTTTATTTCTTCCAAGTTCTGAAAATTAAGAACGCTTTGAATGTTGTTTATCTGGTCTTCTTGACTTTGCAATGAGTGCCTTTAGAAGAATTATGGCAAATGTAATGTGGATTTTTTTTTTTGTTATTTTGATAAACAGTGCTTTCATGCTTTTTATATTTAAAATTCCACATTTGCAAATAATGCGACTGATGCAACTATTATTTTGTTGTTCGATAGGAAGAGACTCCAGACAAGAATATGGCACCTGATGGGTATTATGTTCCCAGAATCCTCTTTGTTGGTAAATATTTAAAACATTCTTCATTTAATAATTATATTTCCAATGTTATTTGGAACTTTAAACAAATTAAATATGCATTTTTTAAGATTAGTTAGGATCACAGCTACCTAAAGTACACTTGTGGCTTTGATTGCAATGAATTTGATAAACATTTCTTGACCAGTTTATTGTTAATCCTTAACATAGTAAGAATAAAAAAACAAAATCACCAGATTTTTATTTAAAACGTTATGCAAGCCAGCCGGTGATATGCAATTATTCAAGAAATGATGTTTAAATAACAAATAAAATGAGGTTAAGTAAGAAAACAGAACTGTAAGTTTAAATTATGCTTTCTACGTGTTCAAACTTACAATAAATGTAGTAATTTACTTTTTTTTCTCAATTTTCTACTTTTGCACAGTCTTTTTATTAATTGTCACAGAAACACAGAACTATTTTCAGAATCCAGTAATCTTTGGTGTCATGTGTGTCATTCTGCAGATCCATCTATGACCGTACGGACAAACATCATAGGAAAGCACAGCAACCACCTGTACACCTACCTGCCGGAAGATATGGAGCACCGTAAGTGACCGTAAACTCTCCTAATGACCGTTTGTTGTTCTGCTCACCTGTCAGCAGCCTGCACACACTTCACTTCTCCTGTTTCAACCTCTGACACGGTCCGAGGAGCTGAAATTTAAACACATTTTAAAGGTGGATGTATTCATACCGCCTGGAACATCACTTTGTCTGTTCAAATTGATCTGAAGAAGAGAAAGATTTTTAAAATGTACTAATATACACACATTTTTACGATGGAGTATTAGGGCCATGCTAAGAAAAAAATTATTACATTACAAGAAAAAAGTCATAATATTACGAGAACAATGTCATAGTATTACGAGAATAAAGTCAAAATATTACGAGAATAAAGTTGTGATATTACGTGAATAAAGTCGAAATATTATGAGAATAAAGTCGTACAAGAATGAAGTCGAAATATTACGAGAATAAAATTGTAATAATATGAGAATAAAGTTGAAATA